ACATGAAAATATAATGGATTTAGGTTGATCATTAATAAATATTTGAAGGTTTCTGTGTTATACTCAGAAACATGTTCAAAAGCAGAGTTTTGAGAAAGAGTATCACTTCTATAATGATTCGTTAGATCATTTTGAGTACTAAAACTACTTCAACCTTTTCGTAAATTTTATATGAGAATCTTGAACTATTTGTGTAGCTACGGTTTTTTAGTTGGTGAGTATTTATTAAATAATTAATTTTTAGTTGATTGTAAATGGGTCAAGTCTGAAATTTTTTTAATTACCTTATGTCATTTGGCCCATGTATAAAAACTGACTTTAAGTTAAAAGGAGTTTAATATTGGGAAAATGTATAAGTACCCCCAGCCTATGCTCGAAATCTCAAAGACACACCTAACCTTTACTAAGGTCCTATTACCCCCCCCCCTCCCCCCCGAACTTAATTTATCTATAATATTCTACCCCTTTTCGGGCTACGTGGCACTATCCTTGAAAAAAATGTCAACATGCGCTGGGCCCACAAGATAGTGCTACATAGGCCAAAAAGGGGTAGAATATTACATATAAAATAAGTTTGGGGGGTAATAGGACCTTAGTAGGTTAGGTGTGTCTCTGAGATTTCGGGTATAGGCTGGGGGTACTTATGCATTTTCCCTTATATGTAAATCATTACGAGGAACAAAAGTAACTTCCCGAAAAGAAGACTATGGTACGACACAACCTAGAGGCGACAATTGCTTCAGGTAAAGGATGCTTATATATATATATATATATATAGTTTCAATTCTGTGATGATTTCTAGTATGTAGGGGTGAGAATTATTATTATTACCAGTGAATTTGGTCGCGCTTCGTGCGATTTTTTTGTGAAATAAAGTACTAATAAATTTATGCTCTAATATTTTAGTTAAAATTAATTTGAGAGATAAAAGATGAAGAATCGTGATAATTGTTAATATCAACAATAAAAATATGTCTATTAATACCATAATAATAATAATAATAATAATAATAATAATAATAAATAAATAAAAAATTAGGCTAGTTGGATGAAAAAATATGAACCTGTTAGCTAGATCATTTTTGTATCCGTAAGATTTTAAATTTTCTTTTTAAATGTTTTTTCTAATAATATAGGTTTAAATTAAATAATACCATTATTATATGTGTTCAATGTAGATTTTCATAAAATTTTATTATAAATTATGATACAAATAGAATATAAAATGTCAAAAAATGCATGAGAATAAGATATTTTATCAATTCCCTGAATGGTCACCCAAGTTTAAGGAATTGCCTTGAAATATCATTTATGTTTCATTTAGGACTAATATCACTCAAGTATCCCTATTTTCCTTCAAATATACTTGACACTTCAAAAGTCTCACTCTCTCCTAGTTGGCATGCCATGTCATTGAAGCTTCTTTTATTTTTTAAGAATAGACTTATTTAATTCATCAAACTCATTTAACTAAAATAATGATCATATTATTATAAAAAAAAGTATATATATTAGTTTATTAAGAATAAATCTTCATACTTAAGAATCTCTTATTATAATTAAACTTTTTATTTTTTTATGTTATGAAGAATAGGTTTTTAAAACGTACTATAATATCATCAATTTTGAATACTTATAAACATATACATTCAAAAAAAAAAATCGATATACATATTACTTATAAATGCTAACTTACATCAATTAATCATAAATTTTACAATAAATCAATAATATTAAATGTCAATTAACTATTACAATAAAATTAATTGTGTATATATTTTGAAATTCATGCTTACAATATTTTTTTCTTGAAAAAAAGTAGAAAGTGAATAATATTATTATTGTTTTTTATCCAAAATAAATAAATACTCTCCTTCTATTTTAGTTGATATGTCATGTTATTAAATTATTATTTTAAAAAATAATAGACCTATTTAATTCATCAAACTTATGTCTCTACAAGGCAAATATATAAATTACATGAGAATTTATGAAGATCATAAAAAAAATTAAAAAAACTAATTCCTTTATATATTTTTTACCAAACAAAATTCAATGAAAAACTTTGTGTGCAATTATTACTTGGTAATTTTTAAAATCTCTAAGTAAATTATTTAAAAAATTTAAGCAATATTTTTTTTTATAAAAGTATTCAAATAAATTTGGAAGGTTGACAAAAAAGTTAGTAAGAAAGAGAAAATTATTTCTTTTTTAATTTAATTTTTTATTCTTATTCTTGCTATATTATATTATATTATATTATATTTTAACTTATCATAGAACTATACACCAATACATATTTTCATCCCAAATTCATAAAATACAAGTAATAATTAATTGAATTACCTATTTTAATTCAATAATATACATATTATATGAGATTAATATACGGATAAATAAAGATCAAAATTTTATTCTCTAATATAAATATTATACACTTTCTATTTTCTTTTCAAAAAAAGATCTTGTAAGTATGGATTTCAAAGTACCCAATTAATTATTTTTAATAGTTAATTGACCTTTAATATTATTGATCTATTATATAATATATGATTAATTGATGTAAGTTGACATTCATGAGTGATTTATATATCAATATTTTTTAAATATATGTGTTTATAAGTATTCAAAATTGGTGACATTATAGTAAGTTTTAAAAAACTATTCTTCATAGCATAAAAAAATAAAAAGTAATTATGATGAAAGATTCTTAAGCATAAATATTTCTTCTTAATGAACTAATATATACTTTTTAGAAAATAATAAGATCATTATTTTAGTTAAATGAGTTTGATGAATTAAATAAGTCTATTCTTAAAAAAAAATAAAAGTTTCAATGACATTACATGCCAACTAGGAGAGAGTGAAGCTTTTGAAGTGTCAAGTATATTTGGAGGAAAATAGGGATAGTTGAGTGATATTATGGTCCTAAATGAAACATAAATGATATTTTAAGGCAATTTCCTAAACTTGGGTGACCATTTAGGGAATTGAGTCTTATCTTCTTTGTAATTCACTCACTCCACAGTTCTAATCACAAAAAATAAATAAAAAATCTTCACAACAAAACAAAATCAACTAAAATTAGCATGGAATCGCTCAAAAGTTTTTCCCTTCACATTATTTAGGTACAAAAGAAAATAAATTTTAAAAACTATTAAATAAAAATAATCGACCTTCATTCATTCAATAGTCGTTTTCATTATACATGATTTACACAAAAAGTTAAGTAAAAACAAATAAAGACAATATAAAATTAGCTAACCTCTATTTCGTTTTCACATGAAATAATTTTGTAGTAATTTTTTTCAATCAAACTTCATGCAAACCGTAATGATGTATCAATTCGATTTTTTATGATAGGCTTCAATGATAATAATTACTACAACAAATATCAATTCAACTTAACAGTAATCTCATAAATAAAATAATTCAAGTACAACAAACACACACATTAATCAACCTGCACGACAAAAAAAAAAACACAATAAAAAATAATAAAATTAAAAAAGAAGAAAGGAAACATCATAAATTTATGGACAAATTACTTAACTACACTCCTTTACTTACCTTAATATCCATTTATCCCTACTTATTTCAAAATTTTCAAAAATCCCTTATTTACCTATGTATCCCGCATGTATCCCGTGCACAACGCTATGTATCCGGCTATGTGGAATGTATCAAACGCTATGTATCCCGTGCACAACGCTATGTATCCCGTGCACAACGCTATGTATCCCGCTAAGTGAAATGTATCAAATCTAATGTATCCCGTGCACAACGCTATGTATCCCGCTATGTGGAATGTATCAAATCTAATGTATCCCGTGCACAACGCTATGTATCCCGCAAACATCATTTTAAAGGGATTTTTGGTAAATAGAAAACTAGAAGGGATAGGATGTTATTTAGTACTTATAATATGTGGTTCCTATAATTTATACTAAATTTATTACTCGCTAATCATAATTCAAGCAATTGATGCCGAAAAAAGGCTTCAAATATAGTTCAAAAGCATAACCATTCAATTATGAAATCATTGAAAATGAAAAGTAGAAAAGAAATTAAGTAATAATAATAATTGGCACTATAATTTTTAGTTTTTCCAACTGAAAAGGGATTAAATATATACTACAAAAATTCATTATGATTTACTTTATATTTTATGTTTGGATATCTATAATTGATATACTTTTAACTATTGTGTTTTACATTTTACTTGTGTTATATATTCAAGTTGCTATTATAACTTTGATCATGTTTCTAATTATTGACATAACCGAATCGTTCCGATTGGGTTACACTTTTTCAAAATCAAAAATCGAAAAACCAAATGCACACCCCTAAAACATACAAACGGGCAAACAAAATTTACAAACTGTAGCTTCCATAACACAGAACTATAGCTATAGAGCGCAATTATCGAAACTATGTTATAGAGTCTTATTATGTCTATTATCGTTGCTATTTATGAAGCTTTCTAAAAAATAAAAGCATATCACTCAACTTGTAACGACATCACAAAAAAAAAGAAAAAATTAAGAAAATCACTCAACAAAGAGCAACTTCAAAAAAAATAAAAATCTATAGATGACGGCTGTCTACAGACCGTTAATATTATTTGGTTAAATAAAAAAAGTAAACCATTGTATATTTCCATTAAAAAAAAATGGTCCTTTTTGACTCCAGAATTCTTTCTACATTACCTTGACCTTAACGTATTTTCACATTTCAATTTTAAGAGCTAAGTGCATATGTGATGCTTCGATTTCATAAGTCAAGTCGGATACAACAGTTGCTAACCAAACAAGTCATACAACCCTAATTGGTTGCATAATTTAACACTAACATAAGAATGCGTCAGTGACAGCTTTTTACAGAATAAACGTGTACCACCTTGGGGTTACATATAAGATTACTTTGTGTACCACCAGCCACTGGGACACAACTGGTGTAAAACTCACCACCAGTCTCTGACGCAATGCAACACTGAAGTAACAACTTCTCAATACAATAAATTAACTATTGTACATCTACTTAGTATACAAATTATACAAATACTCTCATAAAACCCCAGGGTCGGATGATATGATAAGGCATCAATTATGACGGGATTCACTTGAACCAGAATCAACTTCATAAATAGCTAATAATGAACTTCCTACTGAATCTTGATGCTAGACTGTAGACCAGCTTGAACTTTGTTTGAGAAATGTGATTCAAGCCTGTAAGTGGATGCATAAAATGATATAATTAAAAAAATTAAACATGGAAAAAAAGAAGAGAGCATTAAAGAGCAATACACTTGCCTGGTTGAACATTTGTAGTAAATGGTCTCAGGAGAGTTATAGGTGCGAGCATTAGCAAACATCCTTCTCACATCCGCCAAAAACATATCAAATGTCACATAATATAACTCCGACTCAACCCGCTTTGACATTGTTTTTAAATCTGCATTGTACATAACCATAACAAAAAATCACAAATTAATTATCAATGAAACTAAAAGAAGGGTCCAAAGGGGAAAAGAGCATTTAGATTTGAATCTTGATGTAGATCAGCAAATGAAAGATTGCATGGGACAAAGCAGACTCCAAAATCAAAATCAAAGGAACAGTAGTTCATGGACTCTCCATACATGTATTATATCAACACCCCCCCCCCCCCCCTCCCCCAACAAGAAAAAAAGAGAGGATGTTTTTCATCTCTTAAAGTTCCAAAGTCTGATTTGGTCTTACCTCTCACATGGTAAAGTACAGAGAGAGAAAAATAGAAAAACTCATACAGGAAATATCCATTCATAACATGTGTGTATGCGCTGAAGGAATGAAAATAAACTTGGACACAATTGTGTCTCTGACATTTGTCCCCAAGAGCCTCCACGGTTATAGGACCTTTTGGAAATCTGTCCATGCTTTAGCAACAACAGAAAGTGTTCAAATTCTTACAAATATTCTAGAATATACATAAATATATTAAGTGGCTTAATTTACTCGTATTGTAATTAGATAGTAACTTTCTTTCCTTTTTAGCACATGCAAATATAGTTATTTAAACCCCAATAATTTGGGTGAATAATCAAGGTTGAATTCTCACTTATTTTCTCTTCCGCTTCACATATCAGATTTTTTGAGGAACGTATCAAGAGAATACAAGGATTTAGCAAGGTACAAAATGTATCGTCAAATATTCAATATGATTTCATAACAAATTCTAGCCAACTAAAAGGATCTTATGATCAATCCAGAGATCATTTGGATTCCATTAGTAATGAGGATTCGGAATATCCCACATTGATTAATCAAAGAAAGATTCAACAACGAAAAGAAAGATCGATTGTTCCTTCCTTTCTTCAAACAGAACGAAAAGAGATAGAATCGGACCAATTCACAAAATGCCTAACTGGATACTCCTTAATGTCCCATCTATTCCAGGAACGTGAGAAGCAGATGATTAATCATCTAAATTTGGAAGAAACCGAAGCAAGATCAGTTCTTTCTTTTTTCTCTGATAGATGGTCAGAATTTCATTTGGGTTCGAATCCTATTAAGTGGTCCACTAGAGATCAGAAATTGCTGAAAAAACAACAAAATATTTCTTTTGTCCCTTCCAGCCTTGTTAAGGTCACCAATATATTGGAAGAGAATTTTGTATGAAAAATTTTCAGCAACTTTCACGGCCGTATTAGAATAGGATTGTATCCCGACATGGAAGAGGATTGTAATATGTGGTCTATAAATAGAGCTCAGTGTAATAATTAGTTTATGCATTTTATTAATTAATATGTCTTGAGACTTTATTTCTCACTTGGTAGAAGAGCTACCGTGAGAAATCCCGAGGACAAAAAAGCCAATCACTGCATATTTTTCCGATGACTTTTGGATATGCCCTGTGTCATCTCTCTTGTCGCCAGTATTTTACGATAAGTAACACAACCAAAAGGTGCAGCAACGTCTAGCGACCAAACCCCAAAAAAATCTCCGGCAGAAACCCAGCAATGCACCATCACGCGCTTGTTAGATATACGACATCGGCGACAAATCTGAAACACACACCGGCGCGTGAGCAGTTTCTGACCACTTTCTAGATCAGTTCTTTTTCCTGTTGGATTCACCCATTGATTCCAAGCCGAACCGTACTTATTTCTTCCAAGTTCCAACCAATTTTTATTTTTGTGACATGTCCAACAGCTTCTTGGGATTGGAAGGTAGCCAATAGCTTCCAGCAGTAGATCTGGTTCCTTGAAGTGGTTCAAGCCAGATTTGCCAGCTTGTAAACTAACGGGGATCAGAACCCTAATCTGGCGACTCCATTGGCCTTCTTCAAGCAATCTCTCTAATTTGGGTCATCTCTACCTAGGTGAACACACTCGTTAAGTATACGATTCTCTGCTACCTAGGTGTAGTTCTTGTAATAGGTTTAGACACACTCGTGCATTATACGATTCTCTACATGGTCGACCACCTAAGAATTCTCATGTTGCTCAGACTAACAATGCAGGTGAATTTATTTATCTGAAGGGTAATATAATGAGTTCCTTTAGTATTGAGCAAGTACACATACATCTCCCACAAGTAGCCTCAGTAGCTCAGCATGATACTTCTGTTGATGGTAATTTTTTTGCTTCATAGTCTAATACCCTTGTACTGTGGGTCAAGGACTCCGATGCTTCTGATCATGTTTTTGGTGATAAGAGACAACTCACGTTTGTCAGATAACGTTTATTCACAATCTCTTCTCATTGTTACATAAGCCAATGGGCCCAAAATATAGCAAAGGGAGTTGGACAAGCTAACCCCCTATTCTCAGTCACTCTAAACATTGTTCTTTAGGTTTCAGGTTGTCCTTTAAATAGTGCATCTGTTAGCCGTTTAATGCCCTAAATTGTGCCATAATATTTCTTGATGATTCTTTACTCATACAAGACAGACGATTGGCGCAAGGCATGAATCACAAGGCCTTACTATCTTACTACTTCTAATTATTCCACAGCATCCCATGTTACAACGTTACAGATCATCCAGACCTAATTCATATGCATTTGGGACATATAAATTTATTCGAGCTACAGAAGATGGCGTTTAGTTAGTCTAGTCTATCGACATTACATTGCAAGTCGTGTCAACTTGAAAAAGACACCTGCACTACTTTACTATCTTACTACTTCTAATTATTCCACAACATGCCATGTTACAATGCTACAGATCCCAGACCTAATCCGTAAGCATTTGGGACATCTAAATCTATTCAAGCTACGGTCATCAAAACAAAATTATTCGGGCTACAGAAGATGGCATTTAGTTAGTCTAGTCTATCCACATTATGTTATGAGTCGTGTCAACTTGAAAAAGACACATGCACTACCATTCCACGTAGTGTTGCGAGTGTGTGAGTTAGTTTTTTCACTAGTTTATTATGATATTTGGGGTCCTAGTTGAGTTGGTTCAACCTAACGATGTAGTTATTTTGTCAGTTCATTGATGATTAATCAAGATGTACTTAAATTTTCTTAATGAAAGATTGTTCGGAGTTACTTTCTATATTCAGAGTTTTTGTGCTAAAATACAAAATCATTTTTGGTGTTTCTATTCATATTTTTTCATAGTGATATACAATACTTATCCTCCCAGTTTGAGCATCTGTTGACTCACCAAGGAATTAGTCATGAAACATCTGGTATGTACACCACTCAACAGAAGGGGTAGCAGAGACGAAGAATAGACACCTCATTGAGACTACACACACTCTTCTCATTCAATCTCGTGTCCTGCTGCATTTTTGGGGTGATGCAGTCCTCACATTTTGCTATTTAATTAATTGAATGCCCTCATCTTCAATTCGGAATCAGATTCCTTGTTCTATATTGTTTCCTTATTCACCTTTATATTCTACCCCCCCTCATGTCTCTAAGAGCACATGTTTTGTTCATAACTTAGCCCCGAAGAAAGATAAATTAGTCTCTCGTGTTCTCAAATGTGTAATTCTTGGTCATTCTCGGGTTCAAAAAGTGTATCGTTGCTACTCACCTGATCTTCGTTGATATTTTGTTAGTTGAAGCCACATTTTTTTGAGTTTCAACCTAACTTTAAATGTTTCAATCATCGTGATATCTCTAAGGTCTTACCGATACTAACTTTTGAGGAATCTATGGTTACTTCTACATCTCCATCCATAGTGTCACCACTCCTGACTTATCATTGTCGTCCGCGCCCACCATTAGGCCCAGTTGATTCATCTCTCGGACCTTGCACCTACTAAGGACTTGCCTTCTTCTAGTCAATCGATGAGGGATGTGCATCGGTCGATTCAATTCGATTTTTATGTTATCGGCTCAATTTATCGGTTTTCAATTTTTAAATACGCTAAACCAATAAGATATTTTTATTAGTTCTCGGTTTTTCGGTTTTTGGGTTTTTGGTCCTTGCGGTTTGGTTTTCGGTTTAACCAATAAAAAAATGCTCATAAAATAAATATATGACTTCTCCAACAATTTGACACGACTAGACAATAATGTAACTTTACATAATGCCCATAAAATAGAAACACTAGTAACTAACATGAGAAGAACTATATAAGTGCAACACTAATAAAAGAACAAAGAAAATAATGTGGAATTGAAGGCTAAATGGCAAAGGTAGTAACCAATCAGTACCTAATATTTATATAGGGTAAAGTAGTAAATTAGTCTTAATGGGTTATCGATTTACTCAATCACCCAATATTAAAAAACCAAATCCAAACAGATAATATTTTTTTTTTATAAAACCATTAAAAACTCCTTAACCCAATAATAGACTAATGGTAAACCAATAGCATATTTTCCGGTTCGATTTTTGCACACCCCTACAATCAATTGCACTTCAAAAAGGTATACAATCTACTAGTAATGCTAACAGCCATTATACTTTTTAGAGTTACCACCTTCTATTTATACGGGAGGTCGCTTTATATGGTCTTTGAGCAATCCTCTCGTCTTGAGCTAGTTTTTAGGGTTGACTTCTCAAAGTCCATTTAACAGTTCAACTTTTAAATTCATGTAGAAACTGCTTGGTGCATCAAAATTTTGAAATACAAATAACTTTTACGGGAAAAAAAAGAAGAGAAAATTCAATAAAATTTCAAGTAGATTGTCAACAACCACCACTGGAACAAAAGGCAAATATCCATTACCTATTGGATCTTTGATGATGTCATAATAATCAGGAACATCCCGTGCATCAACAGGTTCTTTGAACGGCCAGGAATCGGGATGGTCATGCATTATCTGCACAGGAGGGAAAAACTCAATAAAGATGTGCCTATTTAACTAAAGAAATAGTCAATTAAAGTCGTGCTAGCTGGCCTTTGTGCACCAAAAGCTTAAATAAAGCAAGCAAGAGTTAGAAGCTTGGGTGGTCACTCAACTTTGGTAATTGGCCTTCATAGTCACTCAACTTTGTTTTGTTACCCAACTCACTCAACTTTGCCAAGTTAGCTTCTATAGTCATTATTTCAAAAAATATAATTTATGATACATATTTAATGATGTGGCAACTATAAATTTTTAGAAAAAGGAAAAACAAGAGTTATACTTTCAGGAGTGAGCGCATGAATGCAGTCAAAGATTTCTGATCTGACAAGGAGTTTACTGTTTTGAAACGAGAATGACCATATTGATCAGGAGTCCATCCAGCCTCTCCTATTAAGATGTCAACAGCAAATTCCCATAAGAAATTTAAGATAATTGGAGCACAAAAAGAATACAGCTTAAGGCAAGTTGTAGGGACTCAGATCACACTTATAGAGAGCAGAGTTTAGAAATTCTACATATCCATAAGAAATATAGAAACTAAGAAAAAGGAAATAAAGATAGAAAGAACTTACTCAAGCCAGGGATATCCTCAACCTTGATGGCCTTTTTGGGAATGCCAGCTTCCTTCTAAATAAGTTAGTCAAGATTAGTGAACTTCAAAATCCAACAGTTTCTTCACGATAGCAGCAAAACATAGTATTGCAACATCAGACCAATCCAGTTACAAAGAAAACAATGTCCATATGAGACCATATCTGCAATCGAAAAGAATTTGAACTACCTCTCAAATAAAAGAAGATATCTTCTGAGATACTGTCTTTTGTCCTAGGAAAGTTTTTACATAATCTGTTGACTATGTTGCTCGGACTCTTCAAAAATGCCAACGGGTGCGTGTCGGATTCGCCAAAAGTAGTGTATTTTTGAAGAATCCGAGATGGGTGCGGCATCAAAAGTGAAGAGTCCACGCAACTAAGTCTGTTGACAAGTTAACAAGTCTAAAAGAAACATTTCCCATTAATAAATTTCATTTTGCAAACCAAAAACAAGTCATTTACAGATTGATATTTACAACTTACTAAAACTAGAAAATGATGGCAAAGAAACTATGATTTGTTAGAATATCAATGTATTTAGTGTCCTAAATGGATATGGATTGTATGTAATGTGTAAAATATCGCTGAAAAGCCTGGCGTGGATCGCCAACAGGCTGAAGCTTGTCTTCAAGAAAGTGATAAGCCTCCTGTCTTATGTTGGAGTAAGAGGTTTCATTAATAATAGAGCAAAGATTCTCTTCTTCAAGCATTAAGTTAAGGAGTTTGTCTTGGACAAGGCCCTTTGTCTCCAATACTTGAAGTTCGAAATAGTCTTGATCATAAATCGAGTGAAGGTTCACCCCTCACCCTGGGGGATTGGGGAGTTGAGAGTTCCTTGCTCTTAGGCCCGTTGTAAGGCCAATAAGATTAGGAAGAAGGGGATTGGATTCTGCCTTTTATCCAGACCGACTCTGATCGTGATTTTGACTCTATTATGATACCTCTCCACAAATAGGTATTAGTGTGCTCAGTGTAATAATAGAGACACACATCTTAATAATATTTTTTCCCATGTCTTTACTTCTCACGTGGTATGAGAGCAACAACGAGAACCATCTGGGGAAAAACAAATCCGTTGCCGAGCGTTTTTCCAGTGACTCCTCAGATCTAACTTGCGTCATGTTACTTTCTGTTAAAGTTGTGCGAAAACCAATACCATCACAGGCCCCCCCACTCACCAGCGACAAACCCAGTCAACCCTTCTGGTAGACAACCCTACATGTGCTCTCACATACCTCTCGGAGATCTGACGCCGACAACGCTTTTGACACATGCGCCACCGCATGAAGCCCTTTCCGACTACTTTTCAAGTTGTTTTCCTTCTAGTGTGTTCTTATAGTAATTCTAAGAAGTTCCCTCCACTTTAATGTATATTCTAATCGCCTGAACCCTATTCCTGATTTCATCAAGTGCATATCAGGGAAAGCGGGGGCATCTTTACACCAATTGTGCAGGTAGCTATTTGTACGACAAGGAATTTTGCCACTCAAATATGTGTCTTGCAACCTAATCTGAGCCCTTGTCTAAGTTGGTTGTCCTCCTATTTCTGACCCCACCCACAAGGTTCCGTTGCACATCAGTCAATAGAATAGTGTTTTTCGGGGTTACAGTGAGTTTTAACCCTTCTTCACAATCTTTAGATGGTTATTTACTAGATATCTCTTCAATTCAACATGTCTTTGTGGTCGATATTTTTGGCTCCAAAAATACAGAAATTGAAAATTCAAGTGCTATGATTATGTTAGAACCCTTAGTGGGAAATCCAAACTAGTTAGCTTGGGCTTCCTTGGTTGAGTTTTGGTGCTAGGGTCTAGATGTTCGAGATCACTTAACGAAAAAGGCTAGTTCGGTTCATGAAAAGGACCAAAGCACAGTGGGAGAAGGTTGATGCTTAATTATATAGTATCTTGTGGCGATCTATTGATTCCAAGTTGATGCCCTTGTTTCGTCTATTCAACACATGTTATTTAGTTTCGGAAAAGGCTCACGCTTTATACAGTCATGACATAGCTCATTTTTATGACATGATATCTCAGATGACACATTTAAAGAAAAAAAATTGGATTTGTCTACTTACTTGGGACTGGTACAAGCAAACATGAAGGAATTTGATAGGTTGATATAGTCACAACGAACGTTGAAAAACAACATAAGCAAAGACAGACTTTGTTTCTAGTACTTACACTTGATAGACTTCCTAATGACCTTGATTTTATGTGTGATAAGATTTTGGCCAGTCCAACAGGTCCTACAATTGATGAAATATTCTCTCGATTACTTGGCCTTGTCGCGCCACTCAATCACACCGTGGACTTAATCACCAACCATTGACTCCTCGCTCCACCAATCTCAAATAATAGATAATCGAGCATCCTGATCTATGAAGAATTGACAAGGATCCCATTTTGGAAGATTTTGGCCCAAGTGTAGTTATTGTAATAGGCTTGGATACACTCGTGAAGTAGGTCAACATGTAACAAGAGGTTTACTTTATCTAAAGTGAAGTATAATGAGTTCCTTCATTATCAAGCAAGTAAGCAGACATCACTACAAGTAGTCTCGGTTGCTCAGTCTTGTACTTCAGTTGTTGGTAATTCTTTTTCTTGTGTTTCAAAGTCTAATACCCTAGGACGGTAGACCATGGACTCATGCACTTCTTATCATATGTCCGGTAATATATCACTTTTATCAAATATTATTTATTCACAATTTCTTCCCAATGTTACTTTAGCCTATGGGATCCAAATAAGAGCAAAAAGAGTTAGACAAACTAATCCTCCATTACTCTAAACTTTGTTCTTTGTCCCTAGAAGTCCTAGTTCTGTATTTGTCATTTGTTTGATGCATGCCCTTAATTGCACCATTATATTTCTTGATGATTCTTTTGATAAGCAGGACCACAGTACGAGACAGACAATTGGTACAGGGCCCTCAACCTCTCCAACTACAATGTTACAAATCCACCAGACTTATACCACAAACGTTTGGCACCAAAGTTTTTCAAACTACAGAAGATGGTGCCTAGTTTGTTTAGTCTATCACATTAGATTATGAGTCATGTCAACGTGGGCAATACACTTGCACTAACTTTACTCGTAGTGATGAAAGTTGTGGAGTCTGGATTATTCATTGGTTCATTCAGATATTTGGGGTCTTGGTAGAGTCGGTTCAACCGTAGAATTTTGTTAGTTTATTCATTTTATTGATGATTAATGAAGATGTACTTTGATTTTCTTAATAAAAGATCATTTTATGTTATTTTCTAGATTTAGAGTTTTTCTGCAAAAATATAAATCAATTTGGTGTTTCTACTTATACTTTTCGTAGTGATAATACCTTAGAATACTTATCCTCCTAGTTTTAGCAGTTTATGACTCACCAAGAAATGATTAATTAGACATCTTGTTTGTACACCCCTCAACATAATGGGGGTACTATAAAGAGGTAGAATAAGCACCTCATTGAAACTGCTCGCATTCTTCTTATTCAATCTCATGTTCCGTTGTGTTTGTTGGGGGCAATGTGCTTCTCACATCTTGCAATTTAATAAATCGGAATCTCTTAACTTCCACTAAATATCAGATTCCTTATTCAGTATTGTTTCCTTAATCACCTCTCAACTCTCTTACCCAGTGTCTTTGGGGGAGGATGTTTTGTTCATACCTTAGCTTTTGGGAAAAATAAATTAGACCTTTGTGCTCTAAATTGTATCTTTCTTGACTATTCTTGGGTCCAAAAGGGGTATCGATGCTACTCATCTAATCTTTCTTGGTATCTTATGTCAACTAATGTCACATTTTTTTAGTCTCAACCTTACTTTACATTTTTTGATTATCTCTGAGGTCTTACTTAAACTAACTTTTGAGGAATCCATGGTTACTTCTACATCTCCAACCATAGTGCCACCACTCTGACTTATCATTGTCGTTCGCATCCAACATCAAGCATAGATGATTCACGTCTATTACATACTTGTCTACAAGTGAAGCACTTTCTCATCTAAGATGGCGACAAGCTTGATTAATGTGATGTGTACTTTATATGTGAGTGGTACTTGGGAGATTGTTCCTCTTCTTCAAGTAAATCTATTGTTGATTGTTGTTGGGTTTATTTACTCAAAGTTGGTTCGAAAGGTCAAATTGATAGACTTAAAGTTCGCCTTGTTGCCAAGGGGTATACTTAGATAATTGGGTTTGATTACAGTAATACTCTCTCCCGTGGCTAAAATAGCATATGTCCGTCTTTTCTATGCATGGTTGTTGTCTGTCATTGGTCTATTTTCCAGTTGCACATAAAAAATGTTTTTTCTCCACGATGACCATGAGGATAAAGTGGATATGGGCCAGCCACCTGGTTTTGTTGCTTAGGGCGAGTCTAGTAGCCTTGTATGTCGATTGGGTTGGTCACTCTATGGTCTGAAACAATCTCTTCGAGCGTAGTTTAGGAAGCTCAACATACTAATTTAGAAGTTTGTCATGACTCGTTGTGAAGTTATCTAAATTTTGCTCTAAATATGTGGATTTATTTGGTGATAAATGCTGATGTATTGTTATCACCGACAATAATCAAGATAGTACACTAAAGACATTGGCAGACTGAAGTATTTTCTGGATATTTTGGTCGCTTAATCCAAATCAGGCATTGTTATTTCATAACAAAAGTATGTCGTAGACAACCTTGAGGAGACAACAATGATAGGATGTAGACCCATTGACACTTCTATGGATCTGAATGCTAAACTTCCATCGAGATAGGGGGAGCCATTCAATTATCTTGGAAGATATAGTCGGTTGGTTGGTAAGTTGAACTATATCACAGTGAATAGACATTACTATTCCTATGAAGTGGTGTTTGTCGGTTTATGGTTTCTCCTTGTAAGAATCATTCAGATGTAGTCGTCTACATTCTGGAATATATAAAGTCGGCTCCAAGCAAAGGCCTACTCCTCAAAGATCAAGGCCATGGGCAAATCATTGGATATACACATTGTTAATCGGATAGGATCACTTTCTGAGAGGCGTTCTACTTGCGGATATTGTGTTTTAGTAGGAGGTAATTTGGTGTCCCGGAAGAGACGAAACAAAATGTGGTTGCTTGATCTAGTGCAGAAGCAAAATATCAAGCAATGGTTGTAGCAACTTGTGAGCTACTGTGGATAAAACAGTTGCTTAAAACATTAAGGGGTCGTTTGGTAGGGAGTATTAGGAGAAATAGTCCAAGTATTATGTGTGGTATTATTTAGTACTATGTTTGGTAGGAATTTTGGGTTTATGTATAATCAATACATGGATTAGTTATACACCCTACATGGTATTATAGGGTGTATAACTAATACCTTCCATTTGGTGGTATTGGTTCTAATACCATGGGACTAATCTAGGTAAAGACAAAAATACCCCCTCAAATCCTTTTAATCATTTTGTTTATTTTCTTGATTTTATGTTTTATATTTATACTAATAAATTTATTTAAATAAATTAGCTTACAAATTTTATTATTTAGATATAATTTTTTGTTTAAATAATTAAGGTTGAAGGGTAGTAGGGCTAGCGTGTTATCCTTTCTTGCGAGGGTCTGGGTTGTTAGCGTGTGTAGTAGTCTTAGCCTTGCACTTGCAGTTCTTGTCTGTGATACCTATAGCCTTATGTTGTTTATCGCGTTTCACTTCTCTCATTGTGCTATTGAGGCTACTGTCTCCTCTGTTGATTATTCACTATCTTTCTTATTGGATGGTATGTTTTGTACACTGTTTTCCTCCCCTTTAACTTGGATTTGTTGTACTTGAGCTGAGGGTCTTTCGGAAACAGCCTCTCTACCTCCACGAGGTAGTGACAAGGTCTGCGTACACTCTACCCTCCCCAAACCCCACCTAGTGGGATTTCACTGGGTATGTTGTTGTTGTTGTTAGATATAATTTTTTGTTTCTAAAATATGAGTTATTTAATCTATTTATTATTAATATAAAATATCATAATCCGACTAATATGCTAATGTTGATGTATGAATTTAAGAACAATTCATAAGTCAAATATTGCCTCTTAACGGAAGTCCATTAAACATTACACAAGTAGTCTAAAACAAGAGCATATATATATATATATATATATATATATATATAAAACATCTTGAGTATAAAAATAGTTTAATTTATTTTGCTATATTTTTTTATTTTTTTTATTTTATTTTATGATAAAGAGTTTTTTTTTTAAATTTATTGATACAAAACAAAGTTCAATAAATTTTCTCTATAAATTATTATAGTTGTGTGACCTTTTGAGACATTAACTCCAATTTATTAAGATGACAATTATTTACTCTCAAATAATTTTAAGTGAGAAAATAGTGAACATGACAATAAAATTTTTATTCTCCTAGCTAGTTAAAATGCTATAAAAAAATAATATTGTCCGTCAATTATCTACCTTGACCCAATTATATAAAATAGAAAATCCCATAATAACTAAAGGGTATAATTGGAAAGAATTTTTTTTGAAGAGTTTTAAACCACCCACAAAACTAGGTAAGAAACAGTGAACCAAACACTTGATAAAAATAATCCCTGCATTACTAATCCATGCATTACCAATCCCTGCATTACTAATCTATGCATTACTAATCCCAGCATTATTGATCTTTGTACCAAACGACCCCTAAAAGTTTGGAAAAATCATCAGGAATGTGACAATCATTGGCCCTACACATTGTGGACAAAACTAATATTTCATGAGAAGACTATGTACATGGAGATAGACTGTCACTTTGTTAGAGAAAAGATACTCTCATGAGATACTATTACAAAATTTGTGAAGTCAAATGATCAGCTTACAAATATTTTCACCAGGTCCCTCACTAGTCCTTGTATTAGTTACATCTATAACATGCTCAGTACATATATGACTTATATGCACCACTTTGAGGGGATGTTAGAATATTAATGTATTTAGTGTCGTAAATGAAAAAAAGATTGTATGTAGTGTGCAGAATATATCTATAAATAGGGTTCAATGCAATAGTGTAGATACACATCTTAATAATTCTTTCTTCCATGTCTTTACTTCTCACACGATTCAAGACATCAATCATCAAGGTTATCTTCTGAAGCTATATGTTGGGGTAAAGGGTAGTGGAAACCTTTTGCTCAATTAGATCATGATTGTAAAAAGTCTAGATACATTGATAAAGTATTAGTATATTCAAAAAGCTTAAATCTTAATCAAACCCAAAAAATGTTTGAGAATGAAGATATTCCTTTTACTCGATACAACTTACTCGCACTTCTTATGGATAAAGTCATTTCTATCTTACACACCTTTCTCAACACACTTCTCGAGGTTGACTCCTGGAATTGCTTACAAAGTTTGTTTCAGCTAATCTAGTCTTCCTTCTGTCCCCACAAGCCCACCCTAATGATAGCCTTTAATCGGGGCCACAGACTCCTCTCTCTTTCCATAAGCTTATTCTCAATCTTCACAATTGGCATTCCAAACTCTTTCCTTCACCTCACACCTCCTCTCAATACCATCCCTTCACCCCCAAACCACTTTTCTCATTAATAAAGAGGTATGCCACTTACAGATTCATTTCAAAAGGAACTTGTTGGAACCATAACATTAGATCAAGTGTGTTACTTCATGTATACAGATGTGATACAGCTGATACATTTTTACTTTTAAGAAGAACAAAGGTGTCCAAACCACATTGGATGCACCTCGATTATTCCACAGGTGCCCGCATCCTCCGATCAATATTGAAACCAAGTAATTCTGTCCACTAGAACTTATACAGATAGTTTGATTCTATTGAAAGTCAAATCCTAGCCTCCTATGATCTCTGTGTCAGTTTCATCAACTGTTAGGCCACATCCTTGATGCACTATCACACATCCATTTGATGTCATAAGACATCCACACATAATATAGATACTTTGATAACTCCATTGGCAAGGACGATGATATAGAAGCCCTATGAAAACCGTCGTCAAAATCTCGAGCTAAGGTTGCTGGTGGCTGAAGTACACGCCCAAAAGAGCTGAAAAACATGCCAAATTGGTGAGCATTTTTTTGGTTCTAAAAGTGTCACTGTTTGCCTTATTTCGTTAGGTAGTATTGGGAAGGTGCGACATTAAGTTTACATGTTTTCCTACATTATCTAATAAACAATGATGAAGCATAGTGCAAATCTTATTATTTCAAACTTAAGCATGATCAAAAGTTCATTAGCTAAGCCGACTTTGCCATTGCATCATATTTTTCTCTAAACAGACCCTTGTCCATTGAGGGCTAGAACCCTCTCTCAAGAGATTGAATTAATAAATACAAAAGACAGGAACCACATTCGACCAATGCAGTAATGATTAATCAATATCAAGGAGGGAGCTTTTTGTTCAGAGATAAAAAGTGCATACCTTTTGAAAATCAATTCCTGGGTAGACAATATGACAATTTGATAGCTCCCTTATCTTTTCATCAATTGCCTAATAACAACAAAAGGAAAATACTGCAAGTCAATAGCCTCTCATTTGGGCAAGAACGATATCTTACTCTACAAAGCTGTAATAAAGGCCCATATAAGACTCCATGTAACTAGTCAATTTCTTGGTCGCATTAAAAGGGAAAATTTACTCCAAACAATATAATTTAACTTCCACATGGTTAGAATAACCAGAGCCAAATTATACTGAACATTCAGCCAGGTTCTTTTCTTTTTTTAAAAAAAATAAAAAAATAAGGCCAAACACCATATTGCTACCAGTCCGTACAGCATGTTAGGGGAGGAAATGTGAGGAACTACCAGAAGTAAATATTAATTATGATACAGTGCATAGAGCTTATCCCATTTTTTATTCTTTAAACCCCATCCATATTACAGACTAACTGTGTTATAATCTCTCTTTTTTTAATCCACGAATTAGCATTATAATTTATATGTATGTCTGGACCACTATCTAAACGACCCAAAGTAGTAGAGAAAATTTTATGCCAGACAAACAAGAAATGGTAGACTAATTTATCTGAATGACTACCAAACAAAAAAAGAAACGATCTAAAGGTCTGTAAGTAAGTCCTCCCTCTCCTCCACTACTTCATCGGCAAAAGCAGGGATGTTGGAGAGCTCATATGCAAAAAGGAGATGAAGTCTATAAGTGAAACTGCATTAACAATTGAAATACAGATGACACCCTTCAACAATTTTTATCAAAATTTTACTACTCAAACTTAAGGAAGCCTAGCCAGTGAGAGCATGCATCATGAAGCTACATTTCAGTCTACCTGCCTTTGACGACGTATCATAGTAGATAAATCCGTGTATGGAAGCTTTGGATCTATTTTGCATTCCATAAGGATTCCACCATCATAATCTTTAATATACCTGGATAAAAAGTTAGCATAAATAGTTAAGAATATAAGGTAATCAAAACATCAAAATGAACTATGAGCCTTTCTCTTTTTGTTTCTTTTCTTTTCTGTTTTCCTTCTCTTTTTTTGGTTTGAGGTGGGTTAATAAGGAGATCAGGTGAAATAAGATAATAGAGTACCCTGATAGAAGCATATTGAATTATGCCACAAAAATTATTTCGGTAAATAGCATTTATTCCTTGAAAGCTTAATGTAAACTTACCCTTGCCAACGCTCTTTCTCTAAATAAATCTCTTTCGTGAATCCCTGCAAGGCATTGTAAGAAGTTAAATCATTGGAAAGATAAGACTAAGGAATGATAAAGCTTCTAAGCAATCAAGAAAGAAGATAACAAGTAAATCACCAACTGTTATCCGTGATTATGTTAGATAGTTAATGTACATATGTTTATAGGTAGTGTCCCACATTGGACAAGTGTGTATGTACTTATTGTATTCCATATATAAATAGATAGAAGCACAGGGAGTAGTAGCTATGCATTCACATGAACTCTTCTCCTATGCTATATTTCTCACTTCGCATCAGAACTTTGGTGAGAAAATTTATCGTTGCTCAACATACCAGCAACTCTGAGAAGAAGAAATCAGTCACCACACAATCTTTTACAATGACCACAAGGTTGTCAGCTTAAGCATTCTTTCCACTCTGTGTTGTGCAAAAACCAGCACCATCATAAGGTAGATCAGCCTCAGGGAGCAAAAATCTGAAAGAAACTCTCATCACGCATCGTCATGTGCTGCTGATAGTGACGTCTACGGAGAAGCACCCGACACGTGTTGGGCGTGTGGAGCAGTTTCCAGCCACCTTCAAAGAAAGTCTCAACTCCTTAGTGTTCGGCCATTCGTTCTGTACCCACCCCGTTGCCATTTTTATCCCGTTTCCGATCACCGAAAACCTAATCCAACGACTCCAATAGCTTTTCCATTTTGGGTTTCGGCTGCAGCTTCTACTCTATCCTTTCAATTTCAGTATTATCCAGCGACTCTTCGACCACTTTCTGCCAGCTAGCAGTTCTCTATCCATTTTCAAGAAAGTTCTCCAGCTTTCTTGGCTATATTGTGTGATTAGAGATCTCCTCAATCCAATCATATCTTTCAATTTGATGCTTATAGTTCCAAATATATGGGAGTTATCTGTAACAAGCACGGTACATGTGACTTGTATGCCCCAGCTTGAGTGGGTGTCTTAGATAGTTGATGTAGATATGTTTATACTTAGTGTCCCATATTAGACAAGTGTATGTACTCATTGTATTCATGTGTGTAAAAAGATAGAAGTGCACGGTGTATTAATTATGCATTCCTCATAAGATCTTTCCCCGTGTTATAGTTCTCACAGATTAGGTAAATAATTAGAAGATAGTAAAACTGCATATTTCCTGATAAGTATGAAAAGACTTTTGATCATAAGAGTGTCATAATTTAAGATTCAATCAACTGAATTTATATACCAACAAAAGAATCCAAGCATAAATAGGACTATGCTTTGGCAAAAGGTGGCATGCTTCAGGTGTAATAATATAGATGATTTTTGGCTCTGAGGTGATGCTCTTGTAGACAAAACCTTGAGGCCTTTTTCACCACGAGCCAACCTTATTAACAGCTGTATAAAATTTACACTGGTTGACCCATTTTTCTACCACGTTTCTGATTAAAGGTGTAGCTAGTAAGTCCTCCATTATATATTCATCAAACAGCTCTTTTTAAAAAGTCAACTAGATAAAACATTGATCACAATTTTCTTGAACATTACACAACAACTTGAAGTTCAACTTTTAATGATCCCATACTGATCTTCATCTGGTTCTTTTGTCCTAGAGTTCTCTTTCAGATTGATGAGTAAAATATTGTAGGCAATTGTTATAATTGTCACTCTTGAATAAAGGAAATATAACATAAAAGATGAAATGGAAACGACGAGTTAGGTAATGCCATTATTTTTAACAACCTCATGAATAATTCATAAGACTCATTAACAGAGTGCATTTGACGTAAACATGAATTTGCTGAACCGACTGGTCAAGTTTGTTACAAATAATAATACCATACTAAAATAAGAACCAGTGAAGTACCTGTTTGACAAAGTAACCAACAGCATTGTTGTCAGCATATGTTAGAAAATGAGTCAGCCCATCCACATCGCGTGCATGCTGCTTTAAGTGATTCATCAGTCTGGTGCCATAGCCCTTAACTTGTTCATCTGCTGTAATTGCACAAAAAGCTATCTCCCCAAACTTCTGGCTACAGCATCAACAAAAAGATTTCCGTCAACAATTTATAGATGAAACAAAATGTCACAACTGAACAAATTACACACTTCTTCCACATACTTTTTTGCTTCAGAAGAAGATGTGAATCATAATGTGGAATTAAAATCTACTTATCACTCCATCCAAAAAAAACATTTTCTTTTGTGTTTCTAAAAGCAGTTGCAAAATACTATCAATTTCTTCTAATGGTAACCCATTTCCTTTCAATATTGAAATCATTTTGGATATTAAACTATTGAGAAGTAATAGAAACATGTTATTATTATGATGTTTTTGTTAGAATTAAAATAGAAATAGGATTGCATCTCTTTTTTTATAATCGTGGTGTTCGGACCAGTCGCACACCTCTACTAATTCTACTGGATACCTGTCATCTTGCACCAGCAATAGGTACCAAATAACTATATCCACATAGGATTGTATATATTACCCTACTTGGTACTTGGAAAAGAATTGTAATGTAGTGTCTATAAATAGGGGTCAATGTAATAATGTAGAATACACAATCCAATAATATTTTACTCCTTTATTTTTCACATGGTACAAGATTTGTGAGATATCTTCGTTGTGCAGTAAACCAGCGAGTCCGGAATTGTCACCATGCCTCTTTCTGGTGATCTTTTTCCAGATAGATTGAGTCACCTAAGGTACTTCTTTTTCAAAAACCGACAACACCATTGTAACACCACGAAATCAAGAAGCCTAGAAAAGGGAGTCAAGTGGGAGGTCACCGGCCCATAACTGAGCCATGGCACCCTTTTCATGGAGCCCTTCACGGCCGCAACACGGCTCGTGGTGGTGCTCGTGGTGCCTTCCAGAAGCTGGCCAAGAGGGACTCCCCTCCCACGAGACCCCAGATGGCACGTGGTGGTGGCCGTGAAGGGCAGGCAGAATTCCCCTAGCCACTGGTCCAGGGTCACGACTACCCTGAGACGGCTCGAGTGGGCCTCCATCTGGAGGTTCACGTCAGCTGTAAGCCAGGGTCAGTTGAGTCTTTTCATAATTATTTTATCTCGATACTATGTCGTTTTTCCCTTACCTAGAACCCCTATATTAGTATTTTTAACCCCAAAATTCCCCAATTAAAATCATTCTCTCAAATTTACAAAAGAAGATCAAGTTTCTTCCTCTCAAATATTTCTCTCTCTAGAAAGCTTGAAGAAGAAGGGTTCAACCTAGGGTTCCAAGTGAAGCCTCCAATTCCTCCCTTGAAGTTGAGCAATTGGCATTGAGGTATGATAATTTTCATCCATGGATTCCTTCCATTCATGGAGTTCCCAAATTTTCCTATTTTCAAAGTTAGAAATCCCCAATTGAGTTAGGGTTTTTCTTCTATGTTATGGGTTCTCTTTATTATTGATTTAATTGATTGAATTATGATCTCTTATGCATGAATTGATGAAATTATATGGTTTTATGATGATTCCCCATGAACCCATGTAATTCCCATGTTTTCCAAGTTATGATGAATATGATGTGGGTTTTGAATTATGAAATTAAGCATGTTCTTATGGAATTTATGTAAATGTTTTAAGGATGCTTAGAGAGTGAAGTATCAATGATGATGATTGTTGTTGTGTTGTTGAAAGGATTTCTCATATACACATGGAAGCATGATTGTGAAAGGTTTTCTCACACACTAAGGGTTCCTAAGTTTGAAAGGTTTTTCTCACCTAAAATGAACCAACGATTAAGGAGTTATGCTAATGTTGAGGCAAGAGGCGATTACCCATGCTTTTTATTGAATGACAAGAGGCGATTACCCATGTCATGTGATGTAAGGACAAAAGGCGATTACCCATGTTCCTTAAGAGCTAAGATGAATACGATTAATAACTATTCCGTGGAAGTTAAGCTTAGTACCGAGTGGACAAGTGGCGATTACCCAAGTCCCATAAACTATGCGCCATCATAGGATGTCTAGATAGACATTAGCTAGTGGATCCACAAAAGCTAGAAGTTCATGGTCCTTACCTTGGCAAGTAGGACAACTCTTTTCGGTGTGGGAGACACCGGATTCCATGTTGATAGCTCGCATGGTCTTATATGTCGATTAAGGCTACTTCCCACAAGCAAGCTATGATGAACTAAGATTACTTCAAGAAGTATCGTAAGTATGTTTTAAGATGATGTTCACTTGCATTGATCATGTTTTATGACCTATGTTTTCTAACTCACAAGATTGATGTTTTAGCTTGATCATTGCTTACTCATGAAAATGTCCTGTTTTAGCATGTTTTAAATGTTTTTATGCATGGCTATCATACTTGGTACATGTTTGTACTAACGCATACTCTTGCCTACATTTCCCCAAATGTAGGGACCGACAGTCAGGGTTCTCACTTTCGTGGCTAGAGGTTGATTTGAGAGATTCCGAGCTTTGGTGAGTCCTCATGCTTCGAGGACCGAACTTTCATTATTTTCAGTTCTTTCCTTATTTTTAGTTTTGGACATGATGTATAGGCTAGGCCCAATTTCATTCTTATGTACTAGATGACTTTGAGACGATGTTTAGATTTCCGCTTTGCTTTACAAAACTTTGTTACATTGAAAGTGTCTTTTTAAATCTTTTTATTCTATTATCTTGTATTATGAAAGCTAAGTGGCTTGTATGGGGCCTCTCGGGGTCTTGTACGCCATGTTACGCCTAGGGGCTACCTTGGGTCGTGACAACCACATGATAGGGGATACTCCGGCTACAAAACCCCATCAGAACACTCGAGTAGACTCTCTGGCGCGCACCAGCAAAACCAGCATCTCTGACAACGCGTCTACAACACGTGTTGGATCTTTCTTCGGTAGGTTCATCCAACTATTCTGAGTCACCTGAGATATTTCTCTGAAGATCTCAACAACCAAAACCCTAATCTGGCCACTCGAGTCAGTTTTTTGGGAAGATTCAAACCTTTTTTAGCTTCTATTCAGTTTCAAGACTTCTAATTCTCAGAAAATTGGTGATTTCTTCTTTGGTCAGATTGCCTTGAAGTTTTAAGCCATGTCTTTCGGATTTGATGTTTTAAATTCCAAAAATACGAGAATTTGAAGTTCAAGTCCTATAATTACTCCTGAACCGTTAATGGGAAGTTCAAATTATTTAGCTTGGGCTTCCTTGGTTGAGTTGTGGTGCAAAGAGCAAGATGTCCAAAATTACTTAACGAAAAAGGATAGTGAAATAGAGAAGAAGACCATAGCACAGTGAGAGAAGATTGACACTCAATTATGTAGTATCTTGTGGTGATCTAACGCTAGTGGTACTTCGGAGCTTGTTTATCTTCCTTTAAGTAAATCTCCTATTGGTTGTCGTTGGGTTTATGACTTTGGTCGGAATGGTCAAGTTGGTCAGTTTAAGGTTCACCTTGTTGCCAAAAGTGTATACTGAAATATTTGGGCTCGATTATAGGGATAGTTTTCACCCGTGGCTAAAATAGCATGTGACCTCCTTTCTTATCCATGGTTATTGTTCGTCATTGAATTATCTCATATTGACTAAACCTAACATTTCTTTTCTTGTGAGTGTTATAAGGCAATTTATGGGTTCTTTTCGTGATAGTTATTAGGATGCAATTGTCCACATTCTGTGATATATAAAGTCAATCCAGGTAAAGGACTACTCTTCAAGAACTGAACTATGAGCACTCGGGCAAGATTGCCTTTAGGTAGACGTTTTACATCTAGAAATTGTGTTTTAGTAGGACGTAATTTCGTGTCCTACAAGAGTAAGAAACAGAGTGTGGTTGCTCAAACTAGTGTAGAAGCAGAATATCGAGCAATGGTTGCAGCAACTTGTGAGCTAGCTTGGATTAAACAATTGCTTAGAGAATAAAAATATGGAGAAATCAGTCATGGAACTTCTGTGTAATAACAAGCGGTCCTTCATATCGCATCAAATCTGATATTTCATGAGAGGACCAATCATATTGAGATTGACCGTCACTTTTAGAGAAAAGATACTTTCAGGAGATCTTGTTGCGAAATTTGTGAAGTCAAGTGATCAACTTGCAGATATTTTCACCAAGTCTCTCACTGATCCTCGTATTGACTATTTGTTACATCTGTAACAAACTCGGTACATATGGCTTGTATGCGCCAATTTGAGGAGTGCTAGAATTAGAATAGTAATTAAGATTGTATATATTGTCCACTGAAAAAAGGATTGTAATGTAGTGGCTATAAAGAGGGCTCAATGTAATAATGTAAAATACACAATCCAATAATTCTTTCCTTTATTTTCACAGTTTTAAACTAATCAAAAATCACATTTAACTCAACTCTCGGGTCCCGTTATCTTCTTCAACTCCACCCTCAACTCCCGTGCGTAGTCACATAAAGACAGTATATTGATACACGGGGATTTAGAGGTATTAGCTGCATGATTAACTTGAATTCATATTAAGCATTGAATCCAATAAGATATAATGGACTTAAACCCACTTTATGCAACTGTCCAGTGAGGATTGCCAAGTCATCACTTATCAAAAGAAAAGTACTGGTCAGTCATCTAAAAAAGTAGTTATAAATGCAACTGGGAGTAAAATAAACTGCATATTGATGAATATGAATCCACTTCCTGAAGGGAGAGAACACGAAAACACTAATGATTGGATGAAAAGAAGTTTCAGTATTTAATTACTAGCTTTAAGTAGAAAAGTGGAAAACCATTTTTAGTTTTTTACAATCAGCAAAAGCACATTCTGTTGGATGATAAGAATCAGACAATGACTCCAACCTCTTGCTGTATGAGTAGAATAATAAAAAGAACAAGACAATTACCTGGTATATGGACGATATGTTATACCACCAACCACCAGATTGCGTCTGACGACCATTACAGACTTATGGTTTCTGTAACAAGCAGAAACGAAAAAGAGACTAAGAATAATTTACAAACACTACAGATCACAAGCTATTAGCCATCAAGAAAAGCCGTAGAAGGTCACCATGTTTTTGTTTCTCTTTCTTTTTCTTTTTTTGGTAATAAAGAAAATACTTAATGAATGCAGGTCAATGACCCCTAAGTAGAAATGGCATACAAACAGAAAAGAGCCTAGCCTGAAATATTATTATCAATAAAGACTAAAGAGTAGCAATCATCTACAATATCCAGGATTTGCTAGTACTCTAAAATTATATACCCAAAACACAAGATGACACTCTGATATGCCCAAAGAAGTTTTCGACATACTTAACTTTACTCCTGACTCTGACAGAATATCCTTGAATTCTTAATATAAAAAGGTTATTTGGTGAAACTCCATAATTCCTTTCTCTCCACATTTTCCATATGATTATCAAAGGAGCGACTCCAACCTCTACTCCTCTTCTTCCTTCCAATTGCAAAACTTAAATTAAAATCTCACCATGCCAGCACTACCACTTAATACCAAATAGGTTCCAAACTCTACTCCACAATGATGTGCAACCTTGGAGTGACGTCGCAAGTGATTCACGTCTTCACTAAATCTCCTACATATGTAGCATATACAGAAGATACAAGTATTAGTGATTCGCGTCTTCATCAAACCTTGTATGATGTAGCACATACATAAGATACGAGCATTCTTCCTCTTTCACGTGTTCTTGCAACAAGGATGGCCAATACATGGCCAGCAGACCAAAAGAAGCAGAATTTTCCAGGGTAGAACCAACTATCATGCGCAGAAGACACGATCTTAAACATGATATGACACTTTCATGGACAAAAGAGCATATCTTTAAGAATCAAATAGGAGGTCATTTATGGTTTAAGAGGGAGAAATTCAAATTTAAGTTCACATTAGAGGGGAAAAGAAGGAGATAGTAGTCTATACCTAACTGATGAAGATGATGATGACACAATGAAGAATTAGATATTTTGACGATCTTGTAGAAGAATAGGATGTTGATCTATTTACATTTTTTTATTTTGCTTGTCCCAGGGAATTATGTGCTATCTACTTTTTTGTTTTTAAATTGAACATTTGCTTATATACATTGTCTTTGAGCAAATTTATTTGTCTTCTAAAAATTGCACTTCACTTTGATGAAGTGAGCACTACACCGCACTTCAAGTGAAGCTGGGTTTTGTCGCTTCACGCTCTCAAAAACACTGTGATCTAGGCACCCAACAACAAGCCAAGGTAGACAGTAAATAGGGCTCCTACCTTACAATTTGGTACTTGTGCTGAATATTCACTGTTTTTTGCCTTGCCTATTAGTATGATTTTGCATTTCCTGAGATTGATCTACAGTTTTGACACCACTTCAAAACGTATAAGAATTTGTCTAATGAATGTCAATTGAGACACATCTGCATCACAGAACAGCAATGTGTCATCAACTATAGAAGATGCAACCCTAACGTTGCTTTGACCATAATTGAGACAGTTAAACCCCTCCAGTACCATACTGACACATCTCATTCCATCATTTCACTCTCAGCTTCCATAACCAAAATGAATAACATAGAGATAACGGTTCTCCCTGTTGCAAGCCACTAGAGCTGTTGAAAAATTCACTGGAGTTCCATTCAGCGGGATCAAGAATCTTCATCCATTGATACAAAATTTGATCCATTTCCTTCACTTCTCTCAAAATCCATCTTCTTCTTTTTTAATAGGGTAATTAATTTTATCAAAAATTGAGGGAAACCCTGCATACAAGTCATACCAAAAGAGAACCTACACCATGATATGGTTCTCAACAAAAGAAATCCAATCCTCTATGCAATTAGGGACTCATAATTACACCAACAAGAATCTAAAGATAAAACACTACTTCACATGATGAATCCAGGAATACCCACTTCCCATGGTCGTAGCCCTTCTCTATGTCCAATTCACATAGAACCTCCAGCTTCCCTTCTTCCTTCTAGAGTTGACCGCTCTGTTTGCCATAAGATCCATTCCACAAGTGTGTTCTAAGAGGTAGACATTGTATCGTTCAACACCTTTTTAGTTTGTTGGAGAGCACCATGAAAATTATCTTATAAATGCTCCTGTCCACACTAATAGGCCTATATTTCTTGATGCTCGTTGCTCCCTACCTTTTCAGCATAATGGTAATGAATTATGATTAATGTTTGTTCATACTCTCCAGCTTTTTGAAATATAATTATAGCTTTCATCGCGACACTCTTAATTATGATCTACCATTTTTGGAGAAACGCCAGCATGACTACATTTGGTCTGAGGGCCATGTCTACCGCACAACTCTTCATTGCCTCTTACACCTCCTCTTCCCCAATAGCCCTCAACACTCCCTCTTTTCCTCTCCTATTTGATTTAACACCTTCTCCCATCTTAGGTTTCCAACTCACCTCCTCCCTACACAAATGTTCATAAAATACGCAACCGCTCCTTTTACCTCCTCAGCCTTAAAATCATTGCATTCACCTCCATTGACTCTATAAAGTTCATGCTCTAATTTGCAATTGTTACCTTATGAGAAGATAAAATATTTGATTCTCCTCTTTCAACCACAACTTCGATGATTTTTCCCTCCAAGTGATGTCTTGAGCTATTGCTTATGTCGCTAACTCCCTCTTCAACTCCCTCTCTTTTTCCCTTTCCTCCAACTCCTTCAGTCCTCCTGCTCTCTCCATCTTCCCGTAGCAGTAGCCTGATCGTCGAGTGCACGATCATGACAGGACTCGAGGAAGAAGCCCCGACTAACTCCGTGCCAGCAGCCGCAATAAGATAGGGGGGCAAGTGTTCTTTGGAATGATTGGGCATAAAGGGCACGTAGGCGGTGAATCGAGTTGAAATGAAAGCAACCAAAAGCTGACGGAATGCTCATATTTTAATTCTAACGTATATTTGACCCCATAAGCAGGACCAAGCATGTTGCCTCCAAAAGCAGAACCCCGTATTTCTTCTAGAGAATCTCCTAATTGTTCTAGAGCAACTAGAAAGAGATTCTTTAACCAGAAAGAACTCGTATTTCTTCTAAAGAATCTCTTAATTGTTCCAGAGCAACTAGAAAGAGATTCTTTAACGAGAAAGAATTCGATTTAGATGTAGGATACTTATCCAGAAGTTTTTGCAACTCAATCATAGATGATGAAATCATCAAAGATTTAACCCTTTCAAACTCTATTTATAACTCACTAGAGGACCGGGAAACAAAGAGAAGATGTGTCCGAACGAGATGAAGAGAAAATTGAGTATTCACATATACCGTTATTTCAAAATACAACCTTAGCCATGTCAAGAGAAATAAAATGATATAAATACTAAAAGAACATTTCAAGATCCACACCTGTCCATCACAAGACGAACAATATATTCCTTAGGCATGTTTGGTAGTTGCCTTGCAAATATATTCTTCAATCCTACTAACCTGCAAAGAACATATAGCAATTATTGGTTGCCAGGATAGATCACATGTGTAAACGCTACGTGTAACAACGTAAGATAAATATTGATACCAAATCATATGCTCATCAACACCATCGTTTGAAACACATACAAACTTGAGTCTTCCTGATTCCTCCTGCAAAATGTTAAAAGTTACTTTGATAGTAAATGAATGGAAACAAGTCTACAAATAAAGATTTGAATGTACTGACAATCTGTAAAACCCTTACAGGTTCAGACTTTTAGTTACAAAAATTTGGAAAGTCAATCCTATAAATAACCTCAACTTATGCAAAAACAAAAAGTCCCTAAAAGAAAAGAGAACAGAATAGAATATCTCTCTCAATCCAATTCTTACCATAAAGGCATAAAAAAATGGATCTTGGATCTAACTCAACCTTAAAAACTAGTTCAAGAAAGGAGGATTGTCCAAAGCCATATAAAGAGACCACCCATCCCTTTTTCATCCGATAAGGGACACTCCAACACCCCACCTGACGCCCAAGGTTGGACATCTGGAGTGTGAGCAATTTAATATAGGCACCAAACATCGGGAAATAACAATGGAGATGGATCAGTGCTATGATACCTTGTAGAGAAATGAACAGACCTAACTAAACACCAAAAATTAGCTCAAGATGGGAGAATTGCCCAAGACCATATAATGAGACCACCCATCCCTTTTTCATCCAGTGTGGGACTCTTCAACAGTCCCCTCACATGGTCTTGGGCAATCCTCCCATCTTAAGTTAAATTTTGGTATTGAGTTAGGTCCAAGGTCCATTACTCTAACATTTACCACCATGATAGAACAATTTGCTTTAGTACATCACCTAGAGTTGGTTAGAGAGATCTAATCATTTTATTCCATGCTAGAAATTGACATCTTTTTAAATCACGTGGCTTCTTTCTCAACACCACCATCTCCATGATAGTAATATCACCTTTTGTTTATGTAGTCCCGAATAAGCTATCTTTTTTTATAATTTATTTTTCTTGTCACAGGAATTGAACATATTGCATTGTTTCCAATTTAGTATAACCCACTTGACCTTTTTCTTTATAGTTTGTTTTCTCTTTGCTAAAAGAATGTTTGAATTTACTCATTTACATTACTCACTACTCAATGCAAAATTAATTCTTTTTTCCTTCTTCCATCGCTTTACTTCTCTTTTCTGTTTTTTTCCTTTTCAACAAGTTAATTTTCTCTAGTTTTACAGCAAACCAAGGAATATTGGGTTCTTTGACATCTCAAGTTAGTTGAAGCAGAAAGTTGAAGGTGGGCTAGTACCTATCTTGACTTGAAATGTCAAAGTCCTAGTGGGACCAAATAGACAAGGATATCAATCGTGTATGCCAAGAAGAAAAAGATACATGTAATGGAACCAAAAAATTACAAAAAGTTGAACAAAATACAAGTGCATAATTTTAGAAACAACCATCAGAGGTAGTAGCCACTTAAGTATAATGTTAGAGCAAGAGAGGAAAAAATTCATGATTTACAGTATGTGACTGAGCCTCTCCTTCTTAGCCGAACTGGAAGAACAACAAAGTAATACCAAGGAAATATCTTACATTATCAAAATACGAAGAAAAAAAAAAGTTAACACCAAGAAAATACGAAGCTACATTACTTCAAAGACACTAGGTGTGGAAAATAAAAGGATGTCAATACAATTAGGGAAGTTATAGGAAGGGGAAACGAAATTCTTAAAACCGCAATTGGTCATAAACCTTTGAACGTCTAAAGAGGGGTACACATACAAATCCCATTGGAGACTTCCAAAAGGTTTGATGCCTAAATTTAGTTTCTAGTTTCTTATTCATAACAAACAGTCTTCAAGAGCTATTCGCATTATCTCAAACAGAATGCATCCTTTGCATTCTATCTGCTCAATATATCCTACAGAAAGTGGCAGGAATCATTTCACAATTCAACAAACAGGACACAGAAGCTACTTAAAGATACTCATATACTTCAATTTTCCATGGAAAATTATTCATTTAGAGGATCATTTACCCGTGTTTGAAAACTATTTTACTTAAATAACACATATTTCAGAAAACATTTTCCACCATAACAAATATTATCCATTGGAAAAAAGTTTGTTATAGCTGAAAACTATTACCTCCCTCTTTAAGCTCTCTTCCCTTGCTGTATAAGCACCACTAGTCTGTAAATTGTCAGTAAAAATATTCTTCATACTCTCATCCTTCACTACCGCCCCTGAAACAGAACCAGTGGCAGTAGGTGGCGCAACATTACCGGAACAACCAGTGCCAGCTTCTTTCGCTATCTCGGAAGACTCAATTTTCACTGAATTATCACTCTTAAGCTTAGTATTCCTCCCTGGGGGTACCATAGCCACGCTAGTCTCCAACCGTGAGGCAGTGAAATTGCGCATGGAAGAAGCATCATAATCTTCTTCGTCATCATCACCGACCTCTTCGGAGTCATCTTCGGAGTCGGAATCAGCACCGCCTCCGCGGGCGCTGATACTCTCTAAGTCATCGTTGGAGGTAAGAGCGCCGTCGCGCGTGTCAGAGAAAGAGGACGGGAAAGGCGGCGCGTGGTCATCAGATGCCATCTTGCGTTTGTGGATCGACGAGGTTGCTGAGGCCGACGCAGAATGTGAGGGTGACGGAGATTGTGAACTCCGGGATCGGCCCGGCGCCGTCAAGTGCGATGAGAGAGCGTCCATTTGAAACAATGATTCGGTTCGAAATTTTTGAAATTCAGGATTTATGAACGGGGCAGGGTGGGGTAGTTGCGGATCAAACCCACGAAAGATTTCAATTTGCCCTGCCACACCTAGAAATTTATTATTTTTAATTAATTTCCCCTGTTATACATAAACTAAACTATTATATGTATTATCGCGCTTGCGCGGTTAGTTGATAAATATAATTATAAATATTGATTTAGTGAAAATTTTAAAGTTTAACTTATTATATAATGATATAGTAGAATTTATTTGAGAGAATGTTAATATTTAGCACATTGATCTGTGATAGTAGAATATTTATGTAAATAAATTAATAATATGTGCTTAATTCAGTGTTTAGAGTTTTTTTTTTTTGGTTAAAATGTCTAGAGTTGACATTAATAATTTTTAGCATTATTTAATTTATTTATTAAATTATGCAAAAGCATAAATACTCTCACTCTATCCATATTGTCCTCTTATTAGAATAACAAGGATATAAAAAAATTTAATTGTTAGATTAAATTAAATTAAATATAATTAAGAAATATCATATGATTATGATATTGTTATGTATTATATAATTCTTACAATTGAATGATATTTTTATAAATTTATTTTTAAATCAATTTTGAATAACATATTGAACAGATTAGAATATAAAAAAAAACATAATTATGGATTTTATGACCCTATCATTTTTCTTTGATTATTTATGGATTTTAACATTAAAACTTGGGATTTTGATTGTCAAATGGCAAGGTTTTTCAAGAACTTGAGTTCTTAACTTAAATGGTGATTGTGAACTATTACACCAATGAGTTCCAAATGCCTTGAATAATGTTTCCAAGTAAAGATTTTCGAATTCAAACCTCATTTTCGGAATTAAATTTTTGAGTTGATTGACCCATTTTTCCAAAATGTATGAATTGGGAGTTGTTAATTCTGTTATCTTATTGTGGCTACTTGAATGAAATAGATTGTGTGGCTTTTGATGTTGTTCGGAAAGGGAACACTGAAGTATTAGATTGACCATTTGATTGTATTGAGGCAAGTAATCTCTTAAACTTTGTAATCTAGTAGAAACGTGTATTTCCCTACATTGTGTGTATTGGGGAATAATGAGAATGAGGTGATGGGTTCATTGTTCCACTTGATTAATCTTAATGAATAAAAAGGGGATTAATGAAAAGGCAACGTGTCGATCCTAATGCTTTGTGAATTGCCTTGTTGTGAACCCTATTTGATCGATTGATGAAATGCTTTGATGGCATTAATGTAATCGCTTGAATTGTTGTCTCTTCTTTATGGTGTGAAATTGCTTATTTGCATTGGATATTATTGTGCACTGTGACGAGACATGTGATGTTATGCCGAAGGGAAATGGTTCCGGCAAGTGACATGATATAAAATCAAAGATAAATGATTTCGGCTAGTGTGATAAAAAGCCAAAGGAAAATGGTTCTGGCAAGTAATGTGAAATAAAACCGAAGAGAAATGGTTCTGGCAAATGATATGATATAAAGACGAAAGGAAATGGTTCCGACTTGTGATATTATGCCGAAGAAAAATGGTTCTGGCAAAAGTTGACTATTGGGACTTGATGCATTTTGATACTTGTGATTGATCTACTTGTTACTTGTGATTGAACTACTTGATACCTATGAGTGACCTATTTGGTACTTGTGCGTAATTACTTGATACTTGTGATTTGACACACTTAATACTTGTTGATTGTTGAAATGTGACTATTGGACTGTGATTATTGAGCCTTCTGAACTGTGCATTGTAGAACTGTTAGGTTGAATTGATTTATATGTAGGTTGTAGTTTGAGGAGGTTCGATTGGGATGAAAGGAGTACTCGTTTTCTAGGTAGTTTGCCTTGTTTATTTGGTTACTTGTTGAGTATTGTGTTGGTTGGTACTCACTCCTTGCTTCTACACTTGTGTAGGTTCCGAGCCCTGTATTATGTGATTGTTCTTCTTTGTCACGCCCCGAGCCTACACCCTGAACGTGGCCAGCACTCAAGAATCATTGTTGGTCTCCAAGCGAACCCTTGGCCTGGCTTATTACTCAGCGAAAGACTTACTTGATAATATAAGAACTCCATTACAACATTAACTCATAAGGTCTCAATAAAAGACTAACTTAATAGAAGTATGAAAGTATATAATTAAACATAAACGATTTACTTCAAATCTCAAAACATCACAAGGGAAGATAGGGAAAAGGCTCCTCAAAATTGTTGTCTATGAAGCCTCTAAAATACTATGATGGAAGTCGGGACAAGATCCACAACATCCTAACAAAACTGAAATCTAAATATGAAGCCCTCAGGAAAACAAAAAAGGTTCACTGATAACGCTCAACTACACTTCATCCGATTCTAAGTGTAGGCGGTCGCTAACAAGTATAAACCAAACTAAGAGTTGGAGTCGATCCCAGAAGGAGTGATACGTAAAGAATTCGATAACGAAGTGAAATGGTGTTCTAATCGTTTGTAGATGTAGACATGTTCGCAAAAATTAATCAAATTACGAAGTTTTGACAATTAATGTCAGATGGGGGAGTTTGGGTAACCAATTAACAACTACAAAAAGTTGGGAGTAAACAAGTAGAGAGGGTTTCTTGGAATTGTGATGAATTGGATGCCAATTTCGCAAAATAGGTGATTATTAATTACTAAAAATCGTTGAATCTCAGTGGGTAGACTAGGTCTTGGGTGCAATATATAGTCATTTCTCAATCAACTATCACGAATCAAGCGAGTTCTTTCGAACCTCGACAAGCACAACATAGATGAACAACCCATAACCTTAATCTATCTACTCTTTCAAGCTAGATTTGCAAGATTGTATTCAGCCCCACTTTCTCAAGCTAAATCTGCAACAACACAATCACTACAGTCATCAACTAACAATTTAACTCTAACACTTCTTTCTCGAGCAAGGATAGAGTACTAAACTTGAATTGCATTTGCAACTACAATTACTCAAATAAAACACAAACTATTAACTGAACCCACTTCAAATCAACAATAAAATCAGCAATTAACTACACCAATTAGCTAATTAGTGCATCGAACTACATAATCATACCCCAAAAAATGGGGATTTTAGCCAAACATAATAAAGAACAATAAATTGTTACCAACTATGTTTTCCATCAGGTTGGGCAACAATCCACAAGTCTCCAAATGCTCAAATTGAAGCTAAAAATCAAACAAAACCTAAATATCTACTTCAAAGTGTAAAACCAATGTCTTAGAATGTTTAAGATAAAAAAACCCAGAACTAGACAATGTGGGAACTCCTTTTCTTCTTTTAAAATTGCATTTATGCGTTCCCAAAAGTTCAACATCGGAGTCACTCAGCGAAGTAAGTCGGACTTCGCCGACCTGATCAGTGATACGCCGAGTGCCCTCTTGCTCTCCCTTTTTGTCTTGTCTTTTCACCAATTACTCTGTAACTTTTGGCGAAGTAAGTCGGACTCGCCAACCTAATCATCGACGCGCCAAATGCTCTTCTTCTCTCCTTCTTGACATGGCCTTGCACCATCTATTTTCTGTAACTTTTGGCGAGCTAAATTGACATCGCCAAACACTTCGGCGAATCGCTGAAATTCTTATCCTATCAGATCACCAAGTTTGTTTTACCCATGGGCTGACCTGCTAGAGCTTTAGGCGAGCTGAAGGTCGACTCGTCGACTCGTCGAGTGGCTTTTGGCGAGTACCAACCTTTCTTTCCTTTAACATCTTCAGCTTTTTCGCTCTTTTTTGCCTCGTAATGTCCTTGTCTTGCTCGTTTGCCTTCATTACTGCAAATAAATTTTTTTAACATCAGTTGTGAGCATAAAATAGGCATTAAGGACACTAATTTCTTAAATATTGAGCCCTAAATGAGTTGAAATCCCCGACTCATCAACACCCCTAACTTAAACTTTTGTTTGTCCTCAAGTAAAACCTAAGATTAACCAGGCCAACAGGGATGTCTACAAATAGTGCTACTTGAGACTCAACATGAATGCACATGAGGTTTAATCTACCCAAGCAATGTTCAATTGTGCACTACAAGTTTCAAACTGTGACTAGTGATCATCAAATAAAAGTCAAGCTCACAAAGCTTGCTTCAAATGCAAATTCAAGTTCAACAAGAGTATTTGAATGCCCTCACATCAAGAATGATTTCATGTCCACACAAAGCTCATCAAAATTTAAGACTTAAGAAATCAAGATCAACTCTCACACTCTCAAAGATAAACACATGCATGATTCTACCCATATGCTTGTCTGTATTTTCCCATCAACATGCCAGTCGACTCAATTAAGATCACCAAGGTCTTTCAAGGCTTATGACGGGGCTGAGGGTAAAAATATGGTTATTTTGGCTTAGTGACTTCTACCTTCATGAAGCATGATTTGCATTTCACTTTTTTTTTTTTTCATTCTTACCATCCACCCTAAGTTCTTTCAAGCACAAAGATTCTTAGATGACTCATTGGACACCCCTCTTTCTTTTATCCAATGCACGAATTGCATTGCAACACTTTTTTCAATCTTCTTCTTCTTTTGCTTTTCTCTTTTCTCTTTTTCTCCCATTTTTTTTTATATATAAAAGGGGTTCCATATTTTTCAACACAATCCCTCAAGGGTGAATTTCATAAACTTCTTGACTCTCCTTATTTTTCACCACACCCCCAACTTAGGCTTTTAACCTAAGTTGGCTATTCAAACGAATCAATGCTTCATGAAGGTTTAAGGTGGGGAAGAAAGAGGTCAAATGTGTTCATGTTTTATCCAAAGAAAAGGTTAAGCTCAAATGGTGCCAAGCTAGGTTCACACTCTCACAAGGTGGTCACAAAAAAGGTATAATAGCAATTTGGTTCACTCTCCAAGATTTTTACGTAAGATCATTTATTTCATTAGCCTACATTAGTCAAATGGACCAACGAGGCAAGTTCTAGGTATCGCCAAGCACATGTTTCAAGGAGATCTCACCACATAAGTCATTCAACACAATCATCGATCAAGACTCTACAAATCTAGCTCACGTGCAATGATTATCACAAGAGTCATTTCAACAATCGGCTAGTCACAATGAG